GGAAAGGGAGAGATGAAACATAGACCCGCTTGAAATATAAAAAGGGGAAGTGGTCGATCCACTTCTTCCAATCCGTTGCAAAATCAAACATGACAAAATTGTCCATCCCGGCGCAAGACAGCAGCCCGCGGCAAATCCGAAAATGAGTTTGGATACACATGTTGCAACACACAAGCTTTGTGAAAAAAAAAATAAAAAAATTCGCCAAAATAAGCGAAGGACACACGTCGACAAACGTGAATTGAAACGGGGGACTCATCTACCCGTCCGGACGACCACACACTACCAATGCCAGCAAGCCATTCGGGATACGTCAAGTCCTAAACGACGAGGCGAGGGGCAGAGGGACAAGGCCGTTGCAGTCATTATTGCGCCGTGATTACGATGGACTCGACCAGACAGACACGAGCAGACACAGCGGCTAACGCTCGCGGATGGCCTTCGCTATCTCAAGCAGAGCGTGGCACATCAGTTTGCTAACTTCGTCGGACGCAGTGTAGTGTTTCTTTTGCACCTCCACATCCGCTTCCAATGCCTCGCACTACCGGATTTGGATTGAACACATGCCGTTTGCTGTTGCTTTCCATCATCGACGCCACCAGAGCCCCGTGCTTCTCCATGCATTATGACAGAGCGTCGAAAGTTTGCTGCCTCGTGCTCTTCCTCTTGCCGAAGCCAACAGTGCCTCCCGTCGTCTGAGAAGAACCTCTCCTCAACCCGTCGTCGTCGTCGTCCAGCCCTACAGCAGCGTCCCGATCCCCGACAGACTCCGGATCAGCAGAATTCGCCGACGGTAGACGCACACCCCCCGGAGCACCAGTGTCTGCGACGTTTTTGGGGTTAATGGTGTGGCTCTTGGCAGTCGACCCCAGAATCTCGTCGTAAACCGCACGATCCATGTTGAAACTGAAGCCCTTCGACACACACTCCTTCCCTGTGAACTGGAAGAAGTCCTGTTTCCCGGACAAGCCTTGGAAGTGGTGCACCTTCTTGAACTGCTGCATCAAATTGTCCCACTTCTTCCCGCACCGTTCTGCCTCCCTCTCCACGCCCACCTACTTCAGCCTTTGCTCCACACTCAACCACTTCCATTCTCGCAGCTTCATACGAGCGTACACGGTGCCCATTCCCTGCAGATGCGCGTCCTGGTCACGTTTAGCCCGTATCAGGGCCACCATGTCGTCGACGGACCAAAAAAGACGGCTACCTTCTGCATCGCCGTCAGATTCGACGTCGCTCCCCTTCCCCATCGCCTTCTTCCCCCGCCGACCGTTGCGAACAGACGCCTTCGCCCTCCCGCCCTTCACCCCCATGCTGCTTTGCTTGGATGGCGACACTTGCCCTGCGTCGTCCTCCCCACCCCCGCAGTCGTCGTCGTTCAAGTYCCGATCGTTGCYGCCRACATCAGGTGCGTCRTCGTCGTTTTCGTYGTCCCGCRCTCGCAGTCGYTGYACGCCCCGTGTTATGGATTCTTGTCGTCGCGGATGGAGCATCCGTCGCTGTTCTTCCCACACCTCCCTCYCGTCGCGTGCGTCACCTCTTTYCTCGATCCCKCAATCGTGCTCCCCGCCCCCCCCCCCCGATTGCGAGCCGCACTCGAATTGTCGGACAGGGGAGACGGGGACAACATCCACGACGGCCGAGCAGAGGCACCCCTTGAAGTAGACGGCGCCCTGTATTGCTGCGTACGAGGATCCCTGTTGGTCCCCGATGCCACGCGGACCGTGGACGATGGAGACTTCGACGGTCGTGCAACAGCCGTCACCTGGCCGCCGTCGTCATCGAGATGGTTGTCGACTAGCACTGTCCGTGTCAAAGACGACGACCTCCCACTGCACAGACCGAACGTCAGATTCACGCCTGCATCTCCTTTGTCGCCGCTCAGGCCCTGCCGGAGGAGCTGGGTGTACGACTGCCTGCAACTGGGCTCGTGGCCTCCACAAAGCTCTGTGGCCTTCCACTCCTTCGTAGACCCGCTTCCCAGCGGCACGGCACGTGAATGTCTGTGGTCCTCCTCCTCGTCCGATGTGTCCGGCAAAGGCTGCAAGTGCGGTGGCAGGTGCGCGTACTCCGACCGCTCCACTGCCCTTGAACCTCTAGACGGGCTCTGCCCGGCCCGTTGGCCACCACCCTCACCCCCTGCAGACCTGCAAACCGCCTGCCACCCATCCATACTGACGTCCCTCTTTGCACACTGTCGCTTGCGCCCACGTCGCGGAACGATGCCGATGACACAGACGTGGAAGAGCACTACGAAGAGAAGCAGGAGGACGACCAGCACCAGCAATGGCAGCCTCCGAAAGACTTCGGCCATGAAACGCACGTGGACGACGCGAGCACCTGCAAGACAGTCATGGACGTACAGGAAACGGCGACGGTCACTCTGCCGAAAACGGCCGATTGCAGCTAACGACAAATGGTGGGTAACGTGCTCCGTCGCGGAAGACACAACGCGATCGGGAAAGCGGGGGCAGCCTGAAGTATTCGAATCTGCCGACCGTTGGCCGCTTTCCCACCAGTGTCGAAGGGCGGCAACGCAAGGCAGCTCCTTTCCGACGTCGTGAAGGACGACAGGCCGCCGAAGGGACCGTTGGCGGAGTATTCCATGACGCCGACCGTTGCCGACCGGAGATGTCTGTCCACGGGCCGCCAGGAACAGCAATGGACCAGCCGCGTCGAAAATTGTCGTCGAGAGAGCTGCTGTCGACGCTCCGATTCTTCCGGACGGGACCTCGGGAGGTCCCTTGGGGAACGCGTCGAAATGGCTGTAGCCCGAGGAATCCCCGAGGAAACCCCGAGGAAATGTTTTCACATTTTTTTTTCGTTTTGTTCCCCGGGGATAGGTGGAACGATGATTTCCTCGGGGACTTTACGCACCCGAGGAGTGCCGAAAGAGCCCCTCAGTCACATTCATCACTGCCGAACACAAGGATGAGCATAACCAAAACCGGGCACTTGTGGGGAAGGGGGGTTGCAGAAGGGGGGGGAGTAACACCTCAACACCTCTCCCCTGCCACAGCCACGACATCCTCTCAGGTCACCTCCCCTGCCTATATATGGGCGAACTGCTGGTGCCCACAGGGTTCGCTTCCCCTGCCTATATATTACCATGGAACTCTTTCAAGTTTTTGTCCAGGGCTATGCTAATCGGCTCTATATACCACAGATTGCCGGCAGGGTTCACTTCCAGTGTGCCCACCCCGACTGCGTCTGCTCCCCTTTCCTTCCTCTGGAGCTTCTGCCACCGTCTCTCACTCCTCTGCTTTTTCACTGCTGCAGGCCACGGTCACCGCGGAGGCGGCCAACGCCACCCAACAAGAGGCTGCGAAGGACAGCTCATGTCAGACTAGACAAGCGTAAAAAAGGGAAAAAAACAAAGAAATCTGTCCTGGTACCGTTGTCTCACTCATGAGGATTTTGACCACACAGCTGTGTCTATCATTATCAGTCAGTTAGTCGTTGGCGCGTACTGTCCACACATCGACAACTTCAGTCGAAAGCGCTTTGAAGGAGGTCAGAGAGAGCACACCGGAAGGACTTCTGGGACTGACCTCTCCGTGCGGTCACACGCATCCGTTCGATACAGGCAAGAAAGTGCTAGTAGTGTGAACATGCCCACAGTGAGTTTGCAGGATGGAGTTCAGCACGCACCGCGCACACAACACAAGCGAGTGCGGATCGCCCAGAGACGCCCGGCCCGTTCCCAACACATGCTGCTTCCTATGAATAGACTGGAGCCTGCTCGTCGGTAGACTACGCAATGGCCAGGGCACGCCCGGGACGGCAGACACGGCGATTCGTTTGTTCAGAGGGGGGGGGGAAGGAACAAGGGTGTTCTCAGGGAGTCAGAGACTCAGAGTGCATTCTCGGCCGAGGCTAAGGATCCGCGACTCCAGAGAGAGAGAGAGAGAGAGAGAGAGAGAGAGAGAGAGAGGCGGGGAGGGCGGGAGGAGAGGTTCGCGTGTTCGTGGTCTGTTGTTGTGCGAACGTCGGGACCAAATTGCATTGGCGATGGGAGGACCTGCCTTCGTCTTGGCTATCTCTAGCGCGGGCGCAGCAAGGTGACTTGGAGCCGATATAGTGTCAGTGGCAGAGAAACGAGTTTGCCACGAGGGAGCGCTGGGGACAGAGTGCGCTGGGGAGAAGTGGGGAGAAGTGGCGCAACGCCGCAACGCTCTGGCAAACTGACCGCCGCGAGAGAAACCTTGGTTTGCAAACGTCCTCAGAGTAATCAGAGCTACCTCGGGGAAAGGTAAGACTTAGTGCCCCCTTGCACTGAAATCAGGTACTTAACTTCTTGTGGTGATGATCTGGGCTCGGCGACCTGTTCAATATGTCCCTAGCTCTTCTCTCTCTCTCTCGTCCCCCGTCCCCCGTCCCCCGTTCCCCGTCCCCCTTCCCCTTCCCCCGCCGGAGTGTGCGACGGACTAACTAAAGTCCGTCGCTCTCTCTCTCTCTCTCTCTCTCTCTCTCTCTCTCTCTCTCTCTCTCTCTCTCT